GATCTCTTAAATTTAATTACTAAACATAAAACTATCTATCAGTTGCTGCTGACACAGCCCCTCCGCTTCTCACCCAACACCCCGTCAGCGTCTCGATCCTAACCAATATATATATATATATATATATATATATATTGTATTGTATTGTATTGCGACTTAAGGTCGCTTAAAAAACAAGAAAAAGGAATGCAAACTTTAGAATGCAAAGCGAAGAAAGGTGCAAGCTAACCGATACGACCGGTTGAATAGCTGTTGCTGCAGCTGTTGTCTAAAAAGCGAAATCCCTCAAGATAAAAATACCTTGAATATTAAAACAAAGACGAAAAAAACTCGTTCACTTTTTATTGATTTTTTTTTTTTTTTTTTTTTTTTTTTTTTACGAGCACCTTCTTGTATAAAATAAAGAAAATCTTGAAACATATTAAGATATAAGAAAAAAAATATATATATAATAAAATTCTTTAAAAATAAAGTGAGAAACATAAACAAAAAAAAAATGTTGTATTTTATTTTGGGCGATTTTTGAATATATCATCTCCGACCTATCTCATCTACCTAACCTACCTAACGTGACGATATGAAAATGAAATCGCCACTAAACTTTTTTATTCAGTTACCGGGCTATGGAGTTTCAAATGGAGAGACGTACTATTCATCTGCTGGTTTATCGTATCTTTCAAAATATTTTGCAGACATGGTTATCGACAGATTTTGCCTTGTTGTCTCTATGCAACGAAGCTGCGTTTACGATTTTTATTATCAACCAGAGTTTCTTCAACGACAATGCATATGTACATCATAAGTAATATTGAGTCTGGGCAAAACTGGATTGGATTTAAATCCTTCCGAGACTTCGTTTAACAGAATTCTGTTAAAGGCTTAACAGAGCTCAGCATAAAAAGGGGTTGTGCCTTTACTTGTTATATTTAAGTATAACTTTACGCTCTTATTAAATATTTGATGTTTGAAATTTATCGATTATCGATTGTACAGTTCCGACACTTTGCCGATGCTAATGTTTGGGTGCTACCGAATGCATTATATCTCGTTCCATTTCCACGACAAAAAAAGAAAACAAATTGTCTTAAGATTTGCGAATGATTTCTGACTACTAGGCAAGATCGTCAACAAATCCGAAAGGTCGTTTCGCCGATGCAATGAATTTCGATTCAATTAAGGAGATAAAAGCTATATAAGAAGAATTAGTCACCTTGATGAATAAATAAAATAGCCGTCGGTGAAACTTTTCTCAGATCGTCAATGATTTCTTATGAGAATCCTTTTATTAGGTGTGCTATAATTTAAGAAGAATTATTAGCACTTAATATTTAGTTTATCTCTCTATTTTGCGTTTTCACTGTACATTAAAGATTAGTTTGGCAACTACTTTTTTACAAAAAAAAAAAAAGTGTACAACAACTTAATACTTAATACAATGTTAAGAAATGCGGTAGGTAGGAAGGAAATCTCCGAAGAACGCGGCATTTGAAGAAAATGATATTACAATGTTTGCAGCGACACGATTTTCGCGTAATTCTTTTAAAAAACAGATAAAATATAATCTATGTAAATAAATACACATTACCATCCATACATACCTAATGAAAATATATAACTGAAATTTCGTTGCGATATTTGTAAGAAATTCTTAAAACGCAATAGCATTTTTCGTGTTATTTGAGGGTTAGTTGTAAATGTAATTTCGATTGCAACTAGTGCTGGATTAAATGAAACACCATTGCTGAGTTGAAAGTCCAAGCCTATATATTACAGACGCCCAATTCTCTTTCTACACGAATTTATTTTTAACGAATTTTTATTTTACACGAAATTTAATCGCTTTGTTTCACGACGCTTTGTTTCAATATTCTATGAACTTGTTTTCGATCATGTTTATGAGGTAAGGGGTAAGGTATTTTTTACGCACTTTAATTATATTTTTTAAAATATAATTTGATTTTTATGATGAATTAAAATGTGTAACCACGAGATTAATTCTCAAGTGAAATCTAACAAGAATTATTTAATATGGTTTATTATATTGTACTTTCCAGTTGCTTCTCTTGGCATGACATCCGTCTACCATTTTCCCATTTACCTAATAGGTTTTTTTTTGGACAATGTTTTTGGGAACGTATCTCTCGTGTAAAAAGAGAACTTGACGTACATATTAGGACGAGCCCCCATAGGTAACCTGCTATTTTTTATCAGACATTTATTTTGCCTTCAATATTAATTCTGCCTTGAATATTAATTCTACCCATCCTGCATCGAAAGTTATTTATGATTCGACCTAATATAATCAAAGGATATGTTTTTCAAAGATTACGTTCAAATGGATATTCAGATGAACTATATATATATACATCGAAACCTAAACGAATTATTAACGAAATGTATCAAACCCTAAACTATGTAAATATATATATATATCGCGTATATACATAGAAAAATGGTCTGTAATGAATGAATACTTTGCTCAATTAAATACGAAGCTTTGCTGAATTAGAAATGCAAATCGGAATCTAAATCCAAGCCAAGAAGAGCAGGCAGGGCTGCTGAGTTAGTTGAAACTTTAGATGACTGAAATCTTACATTTATGCATTACACACATGCCCCCCCCCCCACCTCCCCACACCTTCTCCTTTCCTGTACAATCGAGAATAGCATACGTGTGGGAACTGAACTCAAGTAAAATGAAGTGAAGTGAGGTGAAAAATTGTATTGATTTCATCGAAAGTTATGGTTTACTTTTGACTGACCGAGTTAGGAGGAATTAGGGTAGCATATAGCTGACTTGCAAATTTAACAGGTTTTCTTATTGAATAAATTTGCATTCATTCCCCCCCTCCGCCAGCCAATTAAGCAATAAGTGACTAGTGATAGTAATTAAATTAAATTTGTTTAAATAAAAATTTAAATATAATTAAATTAAATATAAAAATGAAAGTAATCATAATGATAATAATAATAATAATAATAGCAAACGTTATAAGTCGGGAGAGACATGAATCACTACTTATATTTATTTATATATATTGTATATATTGCATATATGTATACGTTATACGTTAAGTGAATGTAATAAAATGTCACAACGCAATATGAGAATTTCAAACTTTTGCGGTATTTTATTTTATCCAAATAACAATGACAAAAGCAACCGTACAGTGTATTAGAAAAGAATCGAGCTATAAATAAAAGAAAAAGGACGAGGTTACAACAATTAATTATTCAAAATGAATTGAAAAAAAAAAAACACTCGGGAAAATTATGTAAAACCAAATTTTGCGTTTATAATTATTTCACACACAAAAGCATTATCCATAAATTTAGAAGAATTTCCCCTCCTTTTGCGAAACTTTCGAGCGACACTGTCTGTGGTATAAATGATATTGTAAAATTTATTAAACAACAACAGAACAAAGAAATTTATTTTTTCAATAAAGAAATACACACAAAAAGAAAACTGATAAAAAGAATATGTTTTTCTTTGTAAAAATATCATTTTTTTTTTTTTTTTTTGCATAATTATCAAAACAAGGAATTATGACGTAAAAGTTGTGTATGATTAATTTAACCAAAAATATATATCAATAAGATTTTTTTAACTATCCTCCTCTCCTCTTCTGAGTCACATCATTTCGCCAATCTATATTGTGCGAATGAAAAATGATTAATATTTTTGATTGGATTGTTGTTTGTGTTCGTCTTTTAATCGGGAAAATATGTTATGTTAGATGCATATTCCCAAGCAGCAGTGTAGCACTTGAAATGGAAGACATTTTATAAGAGTGTGAAAATGATAAGAAGGAAAATTCGTAAATGAATAAAATTCTTCATCTCTCCACACGATGATGATGAAGCCTTCAAGTACGGAAATTGAATTTAAAAAAAAAAAAAAAAAAAAATAAATAAATAAATAAAAGTAATACAAATATATACAAAGTTATCGCCCAGCAAAAGGAAATAAACGATTAAGTGTATTTTACCAATGAGCAAACCCTCCCTCTCTTTCTCTCTCTCTCTCTCTCTCTCTCTCTCACTCTCACTCTCACTCTCACTCTCTTGCACGCCACGATCTCATTGAACACATTAATAAAATAATCCAAGTGTTCCCCACAATTCTTCAATACTATAATAATAAGCGAATCCATATCCCAGCACATAGAAAATGAATGGAAAGAAAGCTTACGAAGATTGATGACCTCTGAGATGTGGTCTGAGTAGATAGAACTTTCTCTCAGGATTGATTCTCGTAAGAACGTCTTTCAACACTTTCATAAAACCGATATATTAGAGATTGCTTGCCATTTATATACATCGGGTTCTATGTCCTCGACGGCTTTTCATATTTATTCGTAGGCGTTCTCAAAGCTACATCATGTAATCGCCTTCTAAGAAGTGATTCGATAAAGTGCCCGCAAAATAATTGGTTTAAATTCCAAATTTTTCAAGTACTTGTAAAGGTGTGCAAACGAAAAAAAATCGCTTTACGCAAAACAATTGCATGGAAATGAACTTTTTCGACTTTATCGAAACAAAGGCGAGCGCCAGCAGATTCAATATGAGATTTTCAAGGATTCGAATTTTTCAAGTAAATTATGTGACTTACCTTTGGCAGTTCACGTCTACGTCTAAATATGACGCCATCATTTTCCAAATAATCTGGAACCTCCTTGCGGTTACTAAAGTTGAAAATCATTGTAGTATTTTCCGCAGGGGCAGCTGGTGGCGTCTGGCGACGTTTACGCATTGCCCATAAAGGACTGTTTGTAGCACTAATCACTGTATCGTTATCACTAAAAGCGGTAGCGAGACTTGAGGTGTTATTGGTATTCGAAATTGAATTAATTGAAGTCGTTGAAGCTGAAGGTGAAATTGTCGACGACGTAACAGCAACAGCAACGGAAGATGATGATGATGAGCGGTTGTTAATAACCACATCAAGACTAGTAGCGCTAGCATTAGATGACAAATTCGTGGCAGCCGATGTTTTCTTTAATTCATTAATGCGATTTTTTTCAATTTCTCGACTGGTTAAGGTTGGCGTAGAGCAATGCCTTAATGAGTCCATGATTTGAGGTGTATCTGCTTTTTGCTGCTGCTGCTGTTGTTGTTGTTGTTGTTGTTGTTGCTGCTGCTGTTGCTGCTGCTGTTGCTGTTGCTGTTGACAATTGGTATTTAATAAAGGACGTATTACTCCCACTTGTTTACCGGTGGCAGTCGTAGTAGAAGTGGACGAAGAAGTTGATGATGACGGAGAAGAGTTTGCTGAAGCAAACATAAATTGTTGCGTGGTACCAGCGCGAGCAATATTATCCAAAGCGGCTCTTGTTATGCGTCTTTTATGACCACCGTACGCTTCGTCCTCGTCTGATCGATCGCGTTCCTCGAGTAGGTCTCGTTTTTGTTGAGTGTCACTATCGTTATCACTATCGCGTTCACCAGAGTGTTTATGCGACTTTAAACCTTCTTTAGCAACTAACGAGGAAACATTTACTACTGATTGACTAGTCCCACCAGCAGCAACGATCGACACGTAAACTTTGTCGTCATTATCGTGCTGAGCATTACTGAAATCGATCTTAACGCTCGCGTCGACTTTAGCAGTTATTTCACTCGACTTTGCTACCTTAAAGTCTTTGTCATTGTTTTCATGTTTGTTTTGGTATGCGTCACCGCCACCACCACCGCCGCCGTTATCACCACCTGCCTCCACACCACCTACAAAACTTTTTTTATTATTATGAACGTTAGCAGCTACGGCTTTCGATACGTCGGCGTCAGATAGTTTTGTTGTTAGCGTTTGATTATCGTTGACGGTTAATTTTGCAAACTCTTTATTGAGAGCAGTTAACGGCGAATCCACCACGCTTAGTGGTGAAGTAAACTTTTCTTTTAACTCTCCACCTTTATGAGCAGTTTTATGACGTGCTGGTGGCGTTATATCCGATGTAGATTCTGATAATATTGTCTTATTATGTTGAGGTTTTGCTGGGGGAGTTGGTGGGTGAATTGTAGAAGTGTTTGCCGGTGTATGACAACCCTCTGTGTTCAATGGTATTATTTTTCGCGATGACGCTGTTACTTGAATATCTTGAGTTAATGTTTTCATCGGCTTAGTTAGCGGCATTGGAGGTGTTTTTATGTTCTTTGTGGGACTATTTACCGCACCTTGTGGTTTGGGAAAGTTAATTATAGGTTTTTGTTCCTTTATAAAATTTTTAAACGTTTCCACCTTACTAGCTACCTCACCTTTGCTATTCATGCGATTGACAAGGCGAGGCCTACGATTAGCTGAAGCCTCAAACATTTTGAGGGTTTGTTTTACTAAATCCGGCGGTGGTCGTTCAGTGTCATCGATAATCGATGTTAAACGTTTGGGCGGCAAATGATCAGTTCCCTGATGTAAACGTTCCCGGGCATTGTGTATCTTATCCTCTATGGTTACACTTGATTGCGCGGTTACGGTACGTTGTTGCTGTAATTGCCAAGGACTCTTTTCACTTAGCAATGCCTCAACAGAACGAGCGCGTTTCATCGAATCATTACCCCGTTTCAAATGACGCGATCTATTTATTACTGAAGTCTCAGTAAAAGTAACACCAACACCCATTGCACCCTGTCCAGGAGCTTGAGTTATAATGCGCGCGCTGGTATTACCGCTTAAATATTTAGGACAACTTTTTGTTGAGAGATGAGCTTGAACTTTTAGGATACCTGCTGAAGATTTTTGAACAGTCGTAAGCAATTCGGTTGATTTATTTTCGTAACGTTCGCCATTGCCATTCTCTATGTTTTGTTCGACAACTTCACCATCTACCGATTCTCCTATCTCCTCTAATTCTACATCATCATCTTGACCCTCTAGCTCATCGTCTTTATCCAATAGATTATTTAAACTTGTTGAACGCCTCAATTGATCTTTATTCAATCTTTGTTGTTTCATTGTCTCACGCAAAGCCAAACTTAGGTAACGGCATCGTAATTTGGATACAATTCCTGGGCCATAAATTAAATCTTCAGAATTATCTAAATCTGTGGAATTTTCGGGAGATGTTGATGCTGTTGTTGCTGTTGTTGTTGTCGCTGTACGATTGTTAGTAGTTGTACAAGAGGTGGCAGAGATCGGTTGTAAATGAGTAGAATTTTGTGTTGTCGTCTTTTTCATTTCTTGTACGGCCACCATTTTCTTTTTATTTAAGGATGAGGCAGCAGCAGCAGTGGCAGCAACAGACAAAGACTTGGTGGGGGAACCAGTTTCTTTGCAACCAGCAACGGTAGTATTATTAATTGACGTTGTTGTTGTTGTCGTTTTAAATTTAATATATTTCCCTTTATTTAATATTGAACTATTATTAAAAGATGGATCAGTGCCACCACTATGTGAGGCTGCAACTGCAGCTGTTTTTTGCTGTTCGTTTTTTATAAATTTATTTTGTTGCAATTTATTTGAAATTTTTCCGGTCGACACACGCTCACTCTCACATTTAATCGACAACTGATTTGCTGCCACTGGTAAATTTGTTGTACTTACATTAGCACCACCGCTCTTGACATTTTTATGCATATTTACACTGTTATGCTCACACGAAGGCGGCTCTCTTGCCTTTATACCGCACTCTCTCGGCTCTTGTGTTCTCTTTATTTTTAACGATTGCTGTTGTTGTTGTATAAAAGAACCCGTTAAACGAGTTGGTTTTACTAAATGTTCGTCATTATTATCTTCAATTTTTAATTCTTGACTATAGTCTTCCTCTTCTGTTTCTTTTTCTTGCCTCAGCTCTTCTGCTTTACTTAGCACATTATATTCTAGTTGTTGTTGTTGTTGTTGTTGTTGTTGTTGCTCTTTGGTTTTATTACATGATTTTTGAGGCTTTGGCTTCAATTTCTGTTGCTCCATTCCTGCTACACCCGAGCGATCTACTTTTTGCTTAGCCTCTTGATAAGAAGAATGATCATCATAATAATCATGCTTATTAATTTCTTTGGCAGTTATTGTTGTTGTTGTTGTTGTTGCTGTTATTGTTGCTGTATATTGACCTCCAAACAATTTTTCAGACTTTTCTTTTACAGGCGATGTTGCCGGCATTTTGAAAGATGTGGACATATTATGTTGTTGTTGTTGTTGTTGTTGTTGTTCTTCTTCTTCTTCTTCTTCTACTTTTTCTTGTTGTTGCTGTTGTTCTGTTTGATGTTTATTTACTTTAGACAGTCTTGTTGGTGATTTAATGTTAAAATCTATAGAAAGACAAATGGAATTAATTGCAAAAAACAAAAAATTATTGTTTGAGAATTTCTTAATAATAAAAAAACAAAAACAAAAACAATTGCTAATGTTTGTAAGAAAAGCGGAATATTACTAAAAACAAAAAGATTGATTGTAGTAGAACAAACCTAAATATATATCGGGGATTCTTGTTGTTCCCGCTTGTTAAGCTATTTGGGATATCGAAACGGTCGGTATTCATTTTATATTTTCATTAAGAGCGCGGAAGCAGAGAAACGCTTTTATGGCCTTTCTTTTTTCTTTTTTTTTTTTTTTTTTTTGTTTTATTCCTAAAGGCGCTTTAACTGATTACAATCGCTTTAAAGGGAAAGCTCCGATTTTCAAGATTACGATTTACCTGAACATTTTATTAATTTATTTATATTGTACTTTTTATTCTTTAATCTGATCTAATCTCATCAGTGTGATATGGCCGTTCGTCTTTATTTAGTTCTCCTTTGGTATCCTTCTTTCAATCGTTTCCTTAGTAGCCGCACTATTTTTTTTTTTTTTTTTTTTTGTTCTTTACAATGCAATAACAACTACAATAATGTAAACTTGGAAAAAAAAAAAACAAAAAAACGGATATATATGAAATAAATGAAGTTTAGAGACGTGCTCGTATAAAATTGTTATTTGGATCATTTCAAGGAACTACATATATAGGGTAGCTTTTAATCGTGCGATCAAGAAGATGCAAACGCGCATACAATTCGGTTATTATGAATATACAAATATACAAATATACAAATATGTAGATAGGGGCGGTCGACTCCAAAATTACATTACCTACTACTAAATTAAATTACGCACCATTTCACGAATCTAATATACGTACATATGGTTTCGCGATATAAAGAAAGACAGTTACAACCTTTGTTTTGTTTGGCAAAATATTTCGAAAATGACTCACATTTTTCACAATTTGTTATATAAAAAATGCTCAACGAAAAACGTATGGCTTTCTTTATTTCTGCCATATTTTAATAAGCAACCCTTAATTACATGTATTTTTTTGCATGCATATACGTGTGCACATATATATGTATGTATATATATATGTAAACAATAATAATAACTTCCTTTTTTTATTTTATAATCGATTAATGTGTGAGTGATAAGTAAAAAAAAGTCCAGTTACGTCTCCAAATGGCGTCTGATGTTGTTTTTAATTTTTTTGTCGTTTTCATGTGTACGCGCAGCAGAATTCTATTGTATTTAGTTTACAGTTGACTTATTTTACTTATATGTATAAGTATATATTTTTCCTTCTTATATTAGTTGTTACCTTAATTTTCATAATAACGTACACGAGGGTGGTAGCGGGCATTTTTTGCATTGCATTCGTAAGTTTCATTGTTCTTTTCTTTTAAATGTTTAATATATCGATTACAAATTACTTCGGCTTTCATTAAGCCCAACAATAACATCGTCGCAAGTTGATCTTATATTTGTTTTGTCAAAATGTCTGCGACAATCAGAAAACGAAGCTTCACACAAGTTCTGTATTATATACATATATATATGTATATGTATATATATACATATATATATTCTTGAAAATTATTATCAAATTCCAGGTCGATCTAAGCATGGTTATCAGTCCGTCTGTGTAATTGCGTATGATAAGCATTTTCCCCGTCGTAAATAGCAAGCTATCGGCATTACATCTAGTGAAGACATTGAACTCTTTGCAAGCAACATATTGAAAGTGGACCAGGTCGGACAAAGGACAGGCCTATAATACAACATCAACTAAAAAATGGTGAAAAGAAAAAAAAGAAGTTTTTTTGCTCGCAATACAATGAAAAAAATTATACTTATATTTTCTGAGTAATCGTGCACAACGCCTGTACAAACGTGAAAAGATCGGCCACACATCTATCCATTAATTTAGAGCATCGTTGAAAGGATGAGTGGCATTATATTCATTTTATCAAAACGTATGCCACACGCGCAAAACACAGACTTCGGAGACCCCAAGTTTTATTATCGGCCTTGAATTCTGTCTGTCCGTTTGTACAATGTCTGTTGTAAACATTCGCCTGGGCGCGAAAAATGAAACTATCGCTTTCGAATTTGGCAGAAACATTGGAAGCTTTTACAAGCAGACGAGTATTGAAAATGGGTTAAATTGGGCGGGGCGTTAGATACTGGTGTTTTGCTCATTACGCATGACTTGCAGCAGCTGGGTGAGTCTGTAGTACCTGTACAACAATGTGAAAAATTCACCACGCCTACGCAATATTATGGTATATTAAATTTTAATTTATTTCTTTATAACGCCCAGACGCAAGCCTCAAAAATGCCATAAAGTATATAAATTCTTGGCCAGTTCCAAGATCGGAATGCCACTACGAATGTCTGTCAGTTCGACTAACCAACTATGTAGTATCTATGGTAAACATTGTCGCGTTCGCATATATGACGATATCATTTACAAACTTGCAAAAGAATTTGAAAATGATTCAAATAGGTCAAAGGGCAGATGTCTGACTGGGGCTTAACGTGGGTTCTTGCCGTGGCGACTTAACCCTACCGAACCCGATGACACACTGAATGAGAAAGTGTTAATCACACCCCGCAGGGAGCATGGAGGCTCCCACATCAAAGGCATATGTATGGCTAGTCCGTCCCTCTGACGGCGAGGCCTATCGGACAAAGGACACGTGTTCTTTTTGCTTGTTACTCAAAAAATAACAAAAAATACGTAGACCACATGAATTGCTTCGCTTTCATTCTGAAAATAGAAAAAATCAATCGCGTCCATTCTTAGTTTTTTTCCTATCAATCGAGCCTCTGTTAGGACAATCGTGGTGATGAGTGTAAAACATTCGTTCAAGACCGAATGTAATGCAACAGTCGAGTATAATTTTTTCGCTTATTTTTTAATCTTTTTTTTGCAAACATTTGTTTACCGTCTCTCAACTTAACGGTAATTAGGATAAAGCATATAAAGGTAACGAACCGAAGTTATGTACATGGAGAGCATGTGTTTTTTGTTTACCCACTCATTGATTGCCCGGCAAGAACAAGGAAGAAATTGAAAGTAATAATTATTATCATCAAATACTGAGCTAAAGTGTTTTAATTATTTAAATCTGTGCATGCATATGTTGACAAAGAAAAAAAAAGAAAAGTACAGATGTTTACATATGGTTCTTTCTGGCGGATTTCGATTGAGGAAAATTACAAGAAATTGTTCGTTCAATGCATTAAGCGGGGCTTCTTATCAGTGTGATACATCCGTTCATTTATGAAGTCTCTCTCGTACTATCTTTCCATTTCTCTCCTCACTCTCCTCTAAAAAGAATTCACCAACTCTCTTTCTCTCTCTCTCTCTCTCTCTCTCTCTCACTCATGGGTCTTTAAAAAAGGCAATCTAAGCCGTTCAAGTAAAGTTTAAAGAACCGTAAACTAGGTGACCAGATGAGCACAAAAAGTGTAAAATCAATTACAGTAAAATGAAAAGAGGAATGAAGAATGATGAATGAATAAAAAAAAATAAGGGAACGTATTGTTTATAAGTTATGTATATGATATAAGAAGATTTTTAGTTATACTTTACTCCTAAATGCAATATAATCAAATATCAGTGTAAGAGAAAGAACTTTGGCATAGTGTACGTACCATAATACATTATATTGTAAATTGGATGATATATATACACACATGCACACATGCACACACACACACACACACACACACACACACCAATCATTTGTAAAAACCGCATTAAACCAACCTTTTCACTTATTTCATTCGATTTGATCGTTGCATCTCGTTCAAAAGTGCAAATAACTATTAAGTACGCAAAGTTGACAGCTTTCGCGAGATATAGTAAAACAGATGGACAATTCAAAAGACGGACAAAAAAAATACACTGAAATATTATTTCATTTCTTTTTTATAACACAAAGAGAAGAAGAGATGGCAAAAATTCATTGCGTATATGTGTTTGTATGCATATGCGTGTGTGGCACTTTTGAGTTTTCATTGCTGTCGGAGAGTATAGCTTTAAGAATCACTAAAGTGAAAGAAGTAGATCCACTTAGCTACCAGGGTGTTTGCTATTGTTACATTCTGCAGCAGCAGCGTTGCTGAGCAAAGAAAGCAAAACAAAAACAAAAGCAAAAACAGAAACCAGTAAGAACACTCACTCACTACGCATATCCTCATATTGAGACGAATCTTAAATACCCGTCCAACTACCGCAGACTTATTTATATATACAGTATATGAAAAAAGTCATGTCAACCGGCAAAGCCAATTTCATGTCTGCAAAAATTTTGTAAAAATAAACGATTATACTAAATAAATGAATTATATATTATTCATAATCAACGCACATTAATTGAATTGCAAGAAAAAAGTTTCTTGAATCAATTAATTGACTTCTGGCTCACATCGACATCGGCTAGTTAGATATCTTTTGAAGATGCTTAGCGTATACTTTTACGTGAGGCATTCATTTGCATAGGCATAGGCATGGAGAGAACTTTGAGAGAAGCTAGCTATTGAAAAAAGAAGGCGATCGAGCTTAAGCAGTAATAATTTTTACGAGATCAGAGAGCGCTATCAAAATCGCCCAAACGAATTTCGTTCGTATTTCTCTGCTAGCTTGATTATGCGTAGATCAAACATATTGAAAATGTCATTGTTGTTTTGACAGAATAGACATAATAGACGTTCAATTCCCTGTAAGATATATTTATATATTAATTTTTACGGCTTTATTCGGTCCAAAGAACGATCGACTGACTGACTGACTGACTGACTGACTGACTGACGAACAGACAGGCAATTCAGAATTTCAAGCTATTGTTGTCGTTGTTGGACTACTCTGACATGTGAGCGTTACGAACGATACGATTGTATTAATGTAAATTCAATTCTACGCTGCGTGATGAACAGCATAAACAATAAAAGAAGACCAACAACAGCAACAGTTATATATGTACTGTGAAAATAA